TACAAATCGGACTTCAGACGACAAAAGTTGTTTTCATTATGCCTTCAAGTTGACTCCAACTTCTGGCGACTTGAGTTTTCTTAGAAAGATTTCTTCAGAGGAGCTTTGTCATTGCCTTCCTCTAAGGCTGAGAGAGTATGACTTGCCCAAGGTCACCCAATGGGTTTCCATGGCTGAGCAGTGATTCGAACCCTGCTCTCCCAGAGCCTCAGCTCAGCACTCAAACCACTACACCATGCTGTCTCTGGGGCAGTGGCAAGGGGGAAAATCTGCAACCTATTTCAAAGCTGAACTGCAGATTTGGGAGGTTTCAAAAGAAAATAAATTCATTCTCCTTCAACATACTTGTGGCCAAGCAACATCAGAATGTACTCAAGGTGGCAAAAGTCATTAATGAGAAGCCAAGAGAGGCTGCAGTGGTTTGCTTTTGCCCAAATCTCATTCAATTTACTGTATATACTTGATTAAGTTGACCTCATGTATAAATTGAAGGCAAGTTTTGGGGCCAAAATTATGGATTTTGATATGACCTGTGGATAAGTCAAGCGTAAAACTTAAGGGGCATGTAACAAAGGATGTAAAGGATGAAACAAAGGAAAATGATGTCAAAGAACTTACAAGATTCCAGCAGGTATACCTGTTTGTGCTCACCTTAAAGGATGGATGGATGAGAGAGCAGAAAGGGGGGTCAGGACAGATTACATTCTTGCCTTTTACCAAGGGATGGTTCCTTTTTTAAAATAAGAGTTAAAGTACAGTACTTACATTGACTTGTGGATAAATTGACTCAGGTTTTTTGGATCAATTTTTTGACCTAAATTTCTTGACATATGCATGAGTACTATATACAGTACTTAGGGAGACAGGGTAATGCCCATTTCACCTAGCCCACTTGCCTATAGCCAGAAAGCGAATGCAGAGCAAAGCGGAGGGTGAGCCCTGGCACAGAGCAACTGGAAGGGAAGGAGGAAGTAAATAAATACATAGAATCCTTGCAAGTTGCAGCAATCCATCAATTAAGCCTTGCAAAATTGCAGCAAGCTGGAGGTTTGCATGCAGCCTCTCCATTTTGCATACCAAAACTGGAGAATTTGCACCCTTCTCTCCCACTCGGAGACAAGCCATGAAAGCTGGAGACTCAGGGCCAGGCCCTGATATCTGGGAATCCCTGTTGAAGCAGTGCCAGAAATTGTATTTAAATGGAACGATAACTCAGGACAGTCCTTGGAAAGGTCCTTGGCATGGTATTCAAAATGGCTCAGGGAATCACAGATGAAACGGAAGGGTACTCAGACCCTTCCAAATGGCCCCGGGCTCTTCCTCTATAACTTTGTAGAAGTGAGGGCTATAGCAGAAGCAAGGGAAAGTAGCCTGTGTCTAAATGCCAAAAGCCTGGGGACAAAAGAATGGCTGTTGTGGATTTAATCCGGTCTCCTGCCTCTGACAGTTGTCGGCGTCTCAGGCTTCAGAAGTAAAAAGTACAAGAACCTGCAGGAACCGAATGTGGGATAATCATCCCCTCCCCTCCTCCTTGAACAGCTCCTGCTAATCCTGAATAGCTGGAGCCCCCAAAGCCTTGACGCTCTCTGCCCTTTCCAGGCTGACAAGAGGAGAGGTGAGCCAAAAGTTTAATCTCCCCTCATTCCCCCAAGCCTCAAACTACACATTTGTTTTGGATTTTCGGGAAAAGGGTCCAAATCTCCTTGGACAGAGAGGGAGGGGGCTGGTCTCAGACCTCGATTGCTTTAAGGAAAAAAAAATAAATGGCTCATTTTATTCTCTATAGAGTAGCGAGATTGGTGGCTCATGGTTTTTAAGCATTTTGTGCCAGCCTCTGGACACTGGCGGGTTTTAGTGTCAATATTGATTCCTTTGGGATGGTGGTGGTCTGAGGTTGCTCCAAAGAGTAGAGCTTTCATGGAAGAAGAGGGTATAAAGAGGGATAAGAAGTAATTTGCAGACACTTTTAAACTCTCCATAGTAGGGATGG